CTTTAATGTGTTTTTAATTGTTTTAAAATGCTATTTTAAATGGATTGTTTAAAATCCAATTAGAGACCAGACTGACCCCCTCTCTGCTCTCCTTCCACCAGCATGGAAAGGCTTTATTTTATTCAAACAAACATTCAATGGCTAAATGGCAATGTGGAAAGGTCTTTAATAGGCCATGTGCTGCATTGTGTTTTTTTTAAACTGTTCTTGCCATGGTTTCGTATGATTTTATATTGTTTCAAAGTTTTGATGTCATCTTATTTAACTGTATTTTAATTTTTTACTACTAATTTTTAATTCATGTACCTTGTTTTAACTCACTGTTAACTGCCTTGGGTTCCATGTGGGAGAAAGGCACAATATAAATAAATAAATTAATTAATAAATAAATAAAACATCAGTTTAAACTCTGAACTTTTTACATTCTGCCTTTTAAATACTTTGTATTGGTACTTGGTATTTTTAAAAATTGATGTAAACGTCTTCACTATTCTTGGTAAATGGTAGTATACAAATATATAAATAAATACAGAATTCCATAGACTCCAAAGTATAGTCTTAGATAGTTTACCCCATCTTGTTGTATAACATCCTTACACTAATGAGAGCCCTTTCCTCAACCCAAGGTAAAATCCATAATGAGAATTACATTCTTGAGTATGGGTAATAAGCATCCTCAGACACTTTCATGGAAAAATGCATTGTTATACACACAGACACTCAACAATATGTTCATGTTTCTTCATGCTCAGGACCAAAATACACACAAAAGGTGGAAGATCCTTGACTGGATCACCTTCTGTATGTGGTGTTTTAAGATACACAAATGGGAGTGGAGGAAGTTGTAATAAAAAGAAGAGATACCTCTCAGCCTGGCCTAAAGACTGAGGGCTGATGCAGATGGGCAGGAAAAGGTGACCTGAAGCTGCCTTTTCCCTAAGCTGCAGCAACCACACCACCTGCCCCAAAGATGCCCTAAATGGGGATGGAGCAATTGCATTAGGGGGAGTCAATGAAGCTTTTCCGAGGCTGGTCAATGGGGCACATGGACAAACGTTACTCCAGGAGCACACACACCCCAGCGTGCCAGGAAGTGGTGTGCAGGTCTTATGCACACCTACATACCTGCACAGAAGAGGTCACAAAAGCCTCTTGCATGCAAACTATGCTTGCTGACAGCAAGCATACATGTGACAGAATGCATTTATTGTCATAATAGAGAATGGTTTCTAGGACGCATGCGTTGGGTTACAATTAGGGTTAGAGTTAGGGTTCTAATATTCAAGCGCACCTGCACCAGTGCATCCACACCTGGAAGCATAGGGCACTTTAAATTAAACCCTGCATCGTAGGGCGCACACTCTGGATTGCTGATTCAATTTCCACCACATGTGTGCTGGTGCATTTATACGGCCGTTTTAGATCTCCGGTGCCCTTTTTCTGGCACACCAGTGTCACTGCATACACACGCACATGTGAAGGTGTGCATCTTTGCTGAAGAAGCGGAAAAAAGCTGCTCCTTTTAGGAGCGGCTTTTCCCGGCATATGATGCCTAGAGGGCGCTTACCTGCCGGCTTTTAGGTGTGCGTCATCTAAACACCATGCCTTCAAGTCAGCCTTAAAGCATTTATTTTTGCTCATCTGCGGGGCTATGCAGAGGGGCAGCTCTGAGCCGCCCCAGCTAGCCACGGATTGGAGTCATGGCAACCATGTGCCGCAGCCCCGATCCTCCCTTTTGCCACCCCTGAAAAAGTGGCAAAATGCCGCTCCTTTCAGGGGCAGTAAAAGGCTGCCCTAAGAGCTGGCATGTGGCTCTTTAGCGTCCTTTCCGGTGCAGCGTGTCAAAACGCTTCGCCAGAAGGGCATCCTGACGCTGCATGCTGTGCGTAACAGCGCACGGCATCAGATCGTCCCGGCGTGGGGTTGGGGAGACCAGCATGCAGCTGCCCCACCCCATCCCTGCCTCCAGGCTGGCCCTTTGGGCCAGTCTGCCGAGGCCCTGCATAACCCCTGAGATACCAGTAGGCTGGGTTGACTCTTGTGTTTGAACACCATATTATTGCACCTTATAAAGTCAAACAAATTCTGCCTTCCAAACTTTTAAAGTCTTTTTTTTTAAAATGTTAGGAAGGGACTAATTTTGAATTTTATTGTATTCTATGTATTTTTATTGTTGTAATCTGCCCAGATTCCTTGTGATTGGGCGGGCTATAAATAAATAAATAAATAAATAAAAGTAGTGGATTTTACAAAACTTTCATAGAAGGTAGCTTTTCTTTAATCATACTAGAAGAAGTATGTGATGCTCTTAGCTAGTTCCTGCTTCTTCCCTTGGGAATGGGTTCTTCCCATTCAGGCTGTATCATGTGTCTCTTTCATATTTTTACATCCTGCAGCCTCAGGTTCTGGGTGATGCAGATTCTTGTTTCAAATCACACCTTAATTCTAATATGCTGTTTGTGCTAAAATTGATCTAGTGCCAGCAGTGTAATACTATATCCCCATAATTAATGGGCAGGTAATGTTTTTGCAGCAGGATTCCACAGTAATCTAACTACCACAAATTGATGCATTAGCTAGAGGGGAGTTTATATATTGTGGTTTCCATACTCAGAAAATTTCAGCCTCCTCACAAAAGAAACATTAGATGCCAGGATTCCACAAAAAATGTGTAATGATTGTTGAGAAGGAAGGAAGGATTCTGTCTTCAATATTATCATCCCCTCTCTTTTCCTCTCCTTGCTTCTGCCCACCCCACCCTGTCTCACTATCCCATGCAAATAAAGCAAACTTTGTAACAGCTATCCTTTGCCTTAAAAATGTAAACAAGATTTTCCTTTTACCCTAGCCCATATATAATCTCCTGCAACCATTTAGGGGATTAAGACAAAAAGCGTTACCAAAAGCCATTGCTGCTAACCTTCTTTTTAAACAAAGTTGCATTCCAGAATATAGATTAATTTAGATTATAGATGACTGGGTTGTCTTCTTGATCTCTGTACCATTATTAAGTAACTGCAGAAATGTTTGAACAAGAATTAATAATAAAATCCAAGATATTTCCAAGAGGAGAGTTTGCAGAGTATTTTTAGCATAGACACAGTTTATAGATTTATCATGGGGAGCAATTCTTACAATTTTATTGACTATGAGTGCATTCTGAGGATTTCTGCACAGATCACACATATTTCTAAAAAGCTAGACAATATATACGAGAGCCAGCATGGCGTAGTGGTTTGAAAGTTGGACTACGACTGGAGACTAGCTCAGCCATGAAACCCACTGGCTGGCCTTGGGCAAATCAAACTCTCTCAGCCCCAGGAGAAGGCAATGGCAAGCCTCCTCTGAACAAATCTTGGCAAGAAAATGCCACAATAGGATCGCCTTAGGGTTGCCATGAATCAGAAATGTCTTGAATGCACACAACACAGAGAAGATATGTGCATTTTCTCTCTGTAATGTAAACGTGATGCAATATCTTTAAGGCCAGAATTCACTTCTTAAGACAACTTCTCTGCTCTGTCTCCTGAGTTCTGAAGGTTAAGAGAAATCTTGCCCCCACTGAAGAGTTGTAGGGTTTCTGTTTTCCCTGTGAGGCAAATAGCAGGGTGTTCTACCAACAAATTTTTATCAGGAAAATGGTAGGGGAAAGATTTAATCCCTTTCCTACAGTATCACGGCCCCAGTCTAAACCAGCATTTCTCAGGATATTTAATGTAGGGGACCAGCAGTTTTTTCTCTAATGTGCCACCGACTGTCACCATACTTGTGCTCATTGGGTAAAATTATTTCTTTCTTGAAAACTCACTGCAGATCAGCTGCTAATGGCTTGTGGGCCAGTACTGGCCCACAGACTACAACTTTGAGTACTACAGGTCTGAACCATCCTAACCCTCACATCTGTTTTGATTTAAAAGAATGAAAGAATTCCTGCAGGATATGCTATTCACACATCTCTTTATGTCTATACATATCATAGGAAAGTGGCAGAACTGAGAAACAGAACCCATCTAAGAAGCCTAAAGCTACACATGCTAGATTCTCTCTCTCTCTCTCTGTTCTCATAGGCCTCATTCCCACTACAGAATTAATCTTTTTTTTTTTGAGTCGAATCAATGAAGTGACTTAGCGCTGAATAGACATCCACACTATTTGAGCAGCGATTGAACCTACCCTGTTTCCATTTAATCCACTTCACGTTCACATTTTTCAATTTAATCCACTTCACGTTCACATTTTTCAATGGATCAATTCAACATGGAGTCATATCAAAGGGATGACTGTGTCACAAAGGACCAATTTAGATCCGCAACTCGTTCACACTAGTGCTGAATCGATTCATTGCAAAAGACGGGAATTCAGCAGATCCAGAAGAAGTGCTTCAAATGGGTTTAGCGCTGGGGACCCCTCGACAAACCACATCAGGAATTTGGAGCAAGTGCGAACAAGGGCCATTTAAACCACTTCAGATTGTTTGCAAACTGGTTTATTATACTGTGAGAATGAGGACATAAATACATATAAGAAAAACTAATGCTCCAGTTAGTTCTTGTTTGAGAGCAAAAGTCAGCCACTTTTGCCAGAGGAAACAAAGATACCATCAGCATTTGCTGGGAGTCCAGACACACCAATGCTGTAAGGTATGTTATGAGATTCCTTCCCAGCCATGTTTCCTCTTTAAAATGTGTGTTGTTCACCTCTGGCAGTTTTGTGGTGTACAGAAAAGCCTCCTGTAACTCTCTACTCAATGTTTAATATCTATTTGCATTTTCCCATTTGGCAAATGAATTTGCCTTTTGCTTAAGTGCCTGAAACATTTAATTACTTTCTGATTTTTGTGGTTTGATTTAGTCACGCTCTTTGTATTTTAAAAACTGGGCTTGCTCTTCTGAAGGGATCCTTCCATTACCAGAATCTTTGACAAAGGTGCAGTACAGTTGCTGCATACTACAAAGGCATGGAATTCCTTCCTTTGTGCCCAGAGAATGGCTTATTATTGAGCCAATATGGTGTAATGGTCTGAGCACTAGACTCCGACTCCAGAGACCAGGGTTCAAATCCCAGCTCAGTCACGGAAACCACTGGGTGACTCTGGGCAACTCACACTCCCCCAGCCTCAGATGAAGGCAAATCACCTTAGGGCTGCCATAAGTGGGAAGTGACTTGAAGCTACACAACAACAAAAACAAATGGCTGATTAGTAGCGATGTGTTCAGTTCTGGGGCTAATTTATATCACAGCCAAGTCACTCACATATAGTCTCTCTTGTGGAAGCAAGTTGCTTTTTTTGTGCAGTGACTTTGTTCTTTAGTTCATGTTGGGCATACCTCTCAAGACCATATAGCCACAACCTTATTCCTGGCTAATTCTCCCCAAGTCTGCCTAGTTTAAAAGCAAAGAAACCCATGATGTAATGCTATAGGTTGCCTGTTTTCTGAATTCAAGTTCCTATCAACATCTGGCTGATTTTTGTCAATCATCTCTGGCTACCAGCTTCAAACAGGATCTCTATGGGCCTCTGCAGACCAGGGCGTCCAGGATGCCCTGGTCCGGAGCGCCGCGGGGCCATGGCAGCCTCACCACAGCGCTCCTCCGGCGAATCTAAAAGGAGCGCCAAATTGGCGCTCCTTTTAGATTTCAGGGAAAGTGCGCCCCAAAAGCCGCAGTGTGAGGTCAACACGGAAGCGCCGGCCGTGCAGATGGCCGGCGCTTCCAGGGGCGACCTCAGGAAGAGGAAGGGGCGCCGAACGTGCAGCTGCCCCTCCTCTTCCGGGCCCAGAAGACGACCCAATTAGTCGTCTGCCGAGGCCCTATCTTTGCATAAAGGTCCACATCAGTCTGCAAGCATCAGAACCCCCAATGCCAAGAATGGTTCCACCAAGGGTAAGAAGTCTAAAGAGAGGTAATCACAATGGCCAGAAGGGGGGGGAATCCAAAATCCCTATAGGGCAATACCCTAATTATGCCAGTCTCTCCAGAACTATTATTTATCAAGCTAGATGATACAAAAATGTAGGGAAATAAAGAACTAATCCCATTCTGTTTTGAGAAAGCAAAGAAGAACTGTCCTTGCCTTTGGAAATAATGTTAGGAATCACATCTACTTGACTCAAATCCTTTCCAGGTATTATCTTAGGCAAAATAAATATTCTTGAGGAAGCAGCAGGACTGGGAGCAATATTCCATGTCAGGAAGCTCACTGAAAGTTGTACATTGAAATGTACATTGTACACTGAAAATGTACAACTTGAGAGTTGTAGCATGCACAGAGAAACACACACTTCTTATTCTTATTCTTATTCTTATTCTTATTCTTATTCTTATTCTTATTCTTATTCATATAGCACCATCCATGTACATGGTGCTTTACAAACAGTTGCAGAATAAAACATTTATATCCTATTCAATAGTATAAAATACTAAAATCAATGTTAAAATACATTGAAAAACACAAAACAAGCAAAACAAACAGACACAATGCAAAATAAAATAAAATATGGAGTACAGATAATTGAATATACTAAAGACATAATATATTACATTACATACCTAGATCTGTACACATGAGTCTCTCTACACACATGATGGGGGAGAAGCCTGTTGCAACTCTGCCAGTTTGTTGTTAAACAAGCACATTAAGAGGGAGTGGCAAGATAAAACCTGAGACCCCTGAAGAATACAGCCTAAATACAGTTACTAGTCCTAATTAGAGTAAACCCAACTGATTAATCAAATTTACTAAGATATTGCTATATCATTCAATAGCTGATTCCAGGTTTTTATAAAAGAGGCTTTTATAAGAAATTTAAAGAAAGATAAGTATAGACTTCCAAAACTATTTCTTTTCCATAAAATAAATCCTGTGTTGTTACTAATCTGCTGCAGCAGTTTTAGGTTTAATGTTTTACTGTGAGTATATTACAGCCAACATTCAAAGTGCAGTATTTTGCCAATGGGAAAATATCACCCACTCTTATTCTTACACACACACAAACACACAGAAGCTTGCTAACCACACCTACTGCGACTGTGTTACAGGTGTCTGTGAATTCACAATTCATCTCCTGGAGAAATGTCTCTTCTTGTTGCTGTAAAAAATGTGTAGCTATCCCACAATGCAGAGTCACAAATGCTGGAGATCACAGTATCTGCTTTGTGGGGAGAACAGCAGACAATAGGCCAGTGGTATTAACGAGAAACTCAGCAAGGGCTAATTTGGATGAAGGAAGTGTTTAATGGAGCCACAGGTGTAATAAAATGCATTACAGTTACACATAAAATTGTTATTAAAAGTTCCATGCATACATGCAAGCACCCCCCAAAAGGGGGATGGACAGACGGACTATTACCTTCCACCCACTGGTTTCTCCCTCTCTGTATGATCCCTAGAACTGCTAACCAGTTTGAACTAGCCATTATAAAAAGCCTAGCATGGCCAGTACAGAGCTAGTTATCCTCACAGCTTTAGGGAATACAAATTAAATTGAAAGCAGCAGCAACCTTGACAGAATTTTATCAGCTGTAATTGCTCCATGTATCAAACCCCTTCTAGATTTTGATCAAGGGCTTATTGCTGATCTATTTGGCAACCCACTGATGTATGAAAGGGAACTTTTATTGTTAAAGTGCAAAGAACATTTAGAATGCATTAAAGAGAAGATGTAAAAGTGTGTGCATTGACTAAAATGCCAACACTGTATGTGGAAAATCCAGAGAACATAAGAAGCGTCTTGCTGGATTAGATCAAAGGTTTATCCAGTCCACCTGATGCCTATGAGAAGCCCACAAGTAGGACATGAGTGCAACAACATCCTCCCACTTCTGCCTACCCAGCAACTGATATTTACAAGCAATATGTGCGTTTTTTATATATATTGGAAGTAATTTATAACCATCACGACTAATAAGCATAACAATCTTACCCTCTGTGAACTTGTCTAATTTCCTTTAAAAGCCATCCTAATTGCTAGCCATTGTTCTACTTGTGTTAGCGTATCCCACAGCCTAATTATGCACTGGCTGCAATCCTATATGGGTCAGCATAGTGTAGTACAGTGGTTCCTCCACATTCGTTGGGGTTAGGGGTGAATGACCCCCTCCCCATGAAAGTGGGAAAAACACAAATTAAAAAAACAACACTATTCTTTTTACCTAAGAGAACACCTCTCTAGGAATCTCCAGGTTCTCCAATGCAACTCTGTGGTCAACATCTGCCAGACGTTAGTTATAGAATCATGCTAGAGGATCTACAAATGCCTAGAAAAGTGTTTGCTCTAGGAACATCTACATTCTCCAGCACAACTCTATGGTCAACTTCTAGCAGACTTGCACTGGAGGACCTAGATTCCTAGAGGGAACATACTAATCAAAACCACAAATAATCAAATCTGCAAAAGTCAAAGCCACAAATGTGGAGGGCCATCTGTAGTTCCACATGTGAACCTACACTAGGTTGAGCTATATACTACCACCCCTGAACTTAATACATAGCCTCTGAAGTTCCTTTACATTACCATTCCATGTCTTATGGAGAGCAGACAGCATAAGAGAAACATCTGGCTATGCCCCTGTGCCCAGACACAAAATTATTACATCAGTGCTAATATTCATCAGGGTTCTCTGGAGGTCTCAACAGTGCTGTAATAATTTTATGTCTGTCTATGGGGACATAATCAGACACTTATCCAATCCTGTCTGCTCTCTACAAGGCACAGAATAGTCTTGCAGGGAGAGGGCTTCAGAGGCTGTATGGGAAGTCCAGGGAAGTGTGAAGATAGAAAGAGAATACCAAAATCCACAGTGCCTTTAAAATAACATAAGCAGGTGTAAAAGAAACTTACATATGTGTATGCCTGTAACAGGATGTCAGCCACTGTTTGAAAAGTACTTTTTATTTCTCCTGAATATTCCACTGTTCACTTTCATGGGATGGCCTCAAATTCTAATATAAAAAGGGGGGAAAAAGTCCCTAGCCACTTTCCCCAGATTGTTATTCACCATTTTTTCTAAGTTTAAAAGGGCTCGATTACTGTGCCTCCTGCTTTTGCCTGAGCCCTTGATCATTCTGTTTGTCCTTTTCTGTACCTTCTCAAGCTCTATAATACAAAGTATGCTCAATGTGATCACATTATACTGTATTATATTTGTATAAGAGTACTGGATGCTGGATTTCCCCCCCCCCCCCCACTTCCTTTTGTCATGCTCCCAACATGGAACCATGCTAGACTTGCTTTCAGTGAGTTACATTTGTCACTCTAATGTTTGTTCCAGCACTTTAGAAAGAGACTTTGGAAGTTCTTCACTGTATCTTTTTAATTTTAACCAGCCTAGATATCTTGGTGACATCTGCAAAATTGACCATTACAATGTTCATCCTTCACTCTAGACTATTTAGGGACAAAACCTGGAGACATTATTTTTGGATAACAACCTTCTGGAGCTATAAGTTCCAAAAAGCTACTTTCCAAGCTCTGAATAGGAATTCTAATTGGAGAAAAGAACAAGTGTCCCAACTGCTCTGACATGGAGACTAACAAGTGGAAAAACATCTCAATGATACTCTTTCAATTTCTAATCGAATACTAGTGTAGATGATTTGGGATTTGTGTCCATATGCCAGCAGCCATGCTGGCTAGAGGATTTAAGAACTGTAGTCCAAAATGCAACATTTCAAGCTGTGTTTATGAACATGAAAAGCAGTGGGCCTTGGGATTCTTGGGAGGACCCACTGTTTCTATCTGAGCGGACAAAGTGCAACCCCTGGGCCAAATGTAACACTCCGGCTGTTTCCGCTGCCTTCAAATGCACCAGACCAGGTTGCAATTCTCCAAATGTCATCACTGTAACATTTTTTAAAATCCTTTTTCTCCAGAACAGATGTAGATTTCTGGCCATTTCAAGATATATATATAGGCAATCTGTGTGGCCCCTAGGGGATTCCGGGACAGAAAATTGGTATATCTAGATCTAGATCTAGATCTAGATAGATATAGACAATCTGTGTGGCCCCTAGGGGATTCCAGGACAGAAAATTGGTTCCCAGACCTGTCATAGTTTCCTAGCCCTCTGAATT